GGCAGAACTATCCCATAATATGCGTTAGTCTCACTCTGCATTATGTCGAGGGCTTCTGCCACTGGCGAAGTGCACGTCAAATACTCTTGTATTTATTCGAATTCGTTGTCTTTGATAGCATTTTTTATGTTTAATAATCTATGTAAGAGTAAGCTTTTTTCTTTAATATCGAAAATTTGCTGGAGGGCATCAAACAAGCTATTCCATCTGGTCTCACCAGGTCGACTTAACGTGTGTCCTAACAGATTCTGCATTATTTCAGCACTCTTTGGTCGTCCTGCAGCCTTCCACAAAGCATTACATTTCTTCATGATTGCAGCATGCATTTGCGACAGAGGGGTGTCTTGCTCGCTTAAAAGTTTGTTCGCGTCCGTAGTTGCGCAAAGGCTTAACGTATGCGCACAGCATCGTAAATGGGCAGGAAGTAAATGCTCAGGATCTTCTAAATTTGATGATTAGTCGTCTTCAACATCTGATTCAGAAAAGGCTTCTGTTGGCTGAGAGTCTGGCATAACTTCATCAACAATATTTATATTGGTCAATTTGACACCGAACATTTTGAAAGCTTTTACGAAATTGCTGCCATTATCCGTCACCGATGCAACAATTTTATTCGTATTGAGGTCGAAATGATCGTTAATTTCTTGAATTATATCGGATAGTCGATTGTAGCTGTGGACGCCTTTGAATCGTTGACAAGCTAACGCCACTGAAACTCTGCGTAGATCATTTGTGATCCAGAGTGCGCTGTAACTCCTATAAAACTTCTCTTTTTACTGGACCAAATATCTATTTCTGTGCACACATAGGAAGCTTCTTTTAGTTTCGACTTTATCTTAGCTACTTGCGTTTCATAGTGGTTTTCTATACGACGTCCTAGTGAACGTCGACTCATTAGAGTTAGCCCCATTTTAGATATTTCCAAGTCCGTGAATATTTTTGAAAAATATGGATCTTCCACTGCACGTAATGGGATCATGGAATGTATAAAATATTTCAGAATATTTTCATCGAATTGTTCTTGTGTAATTTTATTCTCATTTGACTTCTCAGTTTTTACCTCGGATTTCTTTTTTTTTTACATATGTTTTGTACTCTTCAATGCATTCTTGCCCGTGTTTTCGCTTCAGGTGACTCAAAAAGTTTGACGTACAATTATGATATCCTTTAATTTTATTTAATACATCTCTTGGACATTTCATACAAAGCGCTGTGATTTTATTACCAGTGGACTCTTCAAGCAAGGATTTGAAATATGTTCCATCTAGCAAGTAAAGCCGCGCTTGCGAAGACGAACACTCGGCGGTGTCAGTTGGTGGCACAGGCGAAGATGTTTCTAATGACTCATTAATGTCCGAAACCGAAAAAGTCACTGGAATGTTACTGTCTTCGTCCATTTCGTTTATCGACGCCATTTTATTTCACTAGTCTAGAACAATGTATTCTTAACCAAAACAAACATTAACGTATGTAAAAGGCTTCACGTGACAAGAATAGTTCATCAATGAGAAGGATTTATTTTTTTTATGCAGTGTAATTTTTTAAACCTTTCATTGAATCTGTTATTTTTATTTATTCTGTATTAATACATATTTAATTGTTAGTTTTAATTGTTTCATAAAACAATTTTAAAAATTAATTGCAATTAATTTAATTGCAATTGATTTAATTGAAAAATTAATTGCATTTGATTTAATTGCAATTAATTTAATTTCAATTAATTTAATTGCAAATTGCAATTTAAAGATTAATTGCAATTGATTTAATTGCAATTAATTTATTAGCAATTAATTTCTTAGTCAATTAACAATTTAATTGAAAAATAATTTTTTAATGCCCAACACTGACTAAAGGGAAGGGGCTCGGGGGGAATTCTGATTGGAATAAAAAAAAAACTTTCAACATACGGTTAGAAAAATCGAAACAAACCCTTATTGGATATCTGTCTTGACGCACAAATTTCTAGACAAAACCACCGAGAGTATTTGTTTGTTGTTTGTATATTTACCTCCTAATGCATTACAAGAACAAAATCTAACAAATTTACTTAGGCACATTGAATATCACATGAGTGAAGGTAACGAAGTGCTAATAGCCGGTGATATCAATATAAGAATAGGCAATGCTGGAGGCTTCCATAACCCACTGAAACTAAATTCATCCCTCAACAAATATAGAAAATCTAAAGACCTAATATCTTCGAAACTATCTGAAAAACTAATTTCCTTCACAGATTCATATTCTATAACAATAGCTAATGGCAGAACTAAAGGAGATACGTACGGCTCATTCACTTTTATTTCAGAAAGAGGTTCATCGGTTTTGGATTATTTTATGTACACACACGGTTTAACACAGATCATATCGGATATGTGGATCGAAGAACTTTCATATTCAGACCACTTACCAATTGTTTTACAAATTAATACTGGGTATGAAGCTATTAAATCCTCGTATAACAATGAAATACTAACACGAAAATTCATTTGGACGAAAGAAAATGTGGAGATGCTAAAACATAATTTAAGTGATATAGAAGATGGAAATGAAACCGATATTAACACAAAAACAGTAAATTTTACTAAACAGATCTACACGGCAATGGAATCGGCAAATATAATTAAATTCGCAAAACGACGACATCAACTTTCAAAACCTTGGTATGACAAAGATTGCTACATTATGAAAAAAACGACCAAAGTAAGTTTACAAAGATGTAGGAACTCAAATAACATACACGACCGCCAAAAATATATTGAGGCTAGGAGGGAATATTTTAAGCTCCTGCAAAGAAAAAGAGATGAATTTAATAAGGACAAGAATGAAATGATAAAAAACGCCAAAGATCCCAAATCCTTCTGGAATGCCATTGCAGCCTTTAGAAAAAAACCAATAATACAAGGAGAAATTGATATAAAAGAATGGTTTTTATTTTATAAAAATTTACTGAACAAAGAAAATAATGAAGCTACTTTTACGTTAAACCAGATGATCGGTTGGAAAGATCCAGATTTAGACGCGAAAATAACCCTTGAAGAGATCTATGATGTAGTAAAAAAACTAGCGAATGGCAAAGCAGTGGGACTCGATGGTATACCAAATGAGTTGCTAAAGAATTTACCGATACCGACTTTAACTAAATTGAAAAACCTATTCAACAAAATAATGTCCACAGAAAAATACCCGCAACTCTGGACGAACTCAATAGTACACCCCATATATAAAAGCGGTGATAAGAATAACCCAACAAATTATAGAGGGATTGCCCTCTGCAGTAATATATCTAAATTATTTACTACAATACTAAGAAACAGATTAAACAACTGGATAGAAAAAAGAGAGATTATTATAGATAAGAACAGATCATGCACTGACCACATACTACTACTGAATTCACTCATCCAATTATCTTTGAGAAGAAAACGAGGCAAGCTATATGTCTTCTTCGTCGATTTGACTAAAGCTTTCGACACAGTACCACATGATTTACTTTGGCAAAAATTGCATAAAATGGGCATTAGCAATAAATTTGTAATGCTGATAAAAACTTTTACCAAGAAGCTAAGATTACTATCCGATGGAAAGGGCAATATTCAAGTAATGTGAAAATTAATTCTGGAGTGTTGCAGGGAGAATCACTTTCCCCACTTTTATTTATATTATATATGGCCGACCTAATAGAACTTTATAATAACTCAGCACTTACAGGATTTCATCTCCCTGATTTTGGTGTTTTACACCTACTTCTGTATGCGGATGACATAGCCATAATTGGAGAATCGAAAATTAATCTACAAATTAAAATCAATTTACTAAAGTCTTACCTGGATAATAACAAATTAGTTTTAAATGAAAATAAGTCCAAAATAATGGTATTTAGAAATGGAGGAAGACCGGCAAGACACGAAAACTGGTACTGGGGGGACATCCCACTGACTGTTGCGTCCAATATTTTATATTTGGGATATCCATTCACTACCACTAATAATAGCAAAAAGGTAGCCCTCTTTTATAAAGCCAAAACAAATACGGCAATAAATGCAACTATTAGACTGATAAAAAAGGAAAAAAATAATTCATTAAAAGTTGCACTGAATTTATTTGACTCAGTTATTAAATCAATACTACTCTATGCGGCCCCTGTGTGGGCTTGGGACAATACTGATATTATAGACCAAATACAGAATACGTTTATCAAAAACTTTCTGAATCTACCAAGATATATACCAGGGTATATTGTAAGGCTGGAAACAGGCAGAATATCTCTGACTTTTACAACGATCAAATTAATTATGAAATATTTCATTAGATTACAAAAAATGGAAGACAATAGACTACCTAAGCTATGCTGGAATAGATTGAAGGAAATTTCCTTAATGACAAAAAAACCTATAGGATTCTGTAAAAATATCATGGATATCATCAATCATTGTGGACTCACACGGCTAAACTATAGGTTAAATTATGATGACATACAGATCGAACTTCCGAATATACTAAAAATAAAAATTGAACAGCTATTGCAGCAAGATCTGGCAAAATTATCTCTTACGAAAACATACTCAAACTATAGGTTACTTTATGATTCATTCATTCCAGAACATTATTTTTCATGCAATCTGTCCTCAGCTTTAGTGAGTTTTATTGCACAGATCAGATTAATATCAACATTGATCAAAGTAATCATATTTACGTAATTAAGAAAGAAGAATTGTACTGTAGGTTATGCGGAAGTCAGATAACCGATGAAATATACCATTTTACTGCTGAGTGCGGGGATCTGGAAGGAGAGAGAAAAAAAGATCCTGAAAAGTCTTCCTAGACCGCATTTGAACTCAATAAAGATAATAAAAACTGTTTCAGATAAGAAAAGTTGGGCAATAGAACTGTTCAACTATCAAAAAGCGGTTGTAAATAAAATTGCACTCGTGGAAGAGAGAAGAACAGGGGCACAATAAAAAAAGTCACCCTGTTTACCATACCTTAATTGTAAATACTCTATCTCTCCCTTTTCTCTTGTGTTGAATATTGTCTGTAATTCCACGGCGAATCTGTACAGGGCAAGACGCCCTAATAAAGTTGTTTTGTTGTTGTTTGTTGTATTTGTTCATCAATTATTTCTCTCTCGCTCTCTCTGCTGAACTAACCCTGTAAGGCTTGTGTTTGATTGGGTTATTATTCTTTATATTTATTTTATACTCTCTCAAATTGGTTATACTTAATTTTGAAGAGAATAAGTCTGAATAGTTTGACAAAAGTTATTTTAGTTCGCTTTGTTCTTTAATTGGTGAATCTTGGTTGACCTGGGTTTGATTTTTTTTGTATTTTCGTCTGAGTCATATATGGAATTGATTGATAAGGTTGAACTGCAAAACTCCTGTGTTTTATTTGCCATTATCTTAATTGGACGTGAATAAGTATTTGTTATCCAAGCATGAGATTGCTTGTTTTCCACATTGATTAAGCACCTAGCTATTCTAAGACTATTGGTTTGAATCAGTTTATTATTTTGTTCAATAAAATATTCGTCTTTTCATTTGCCTCAATTCCTACTTTGACTAGTTTGGCTGAAAGCCCAGGAATAATAGCATCTTCAAAATTTCATACTTGTATGTACTTTATTTCTGAATTTTTGGATTCATAATTTATTTCATATTTTATTTGTTCGTTTTTGCAATTAATATTTGCTTTAATTCTTTTCAACAGGTCTCTTCCCAGGATAAGCGTTTTGAAGTTAGATTTCATTATAACAAACGTATGAGAAAAGGCTTCGTCATCAATTTCTATATTTCTGATCATATCAAGAATTTACCATTTGGACCAGCGCAAATGCTATTGAATTTATCGATTTTGGCACTAATAATTTCTTCAGTAATAATGTCAACCACTCACAAGTCTGCACCTGTGTCCTCCGAAGCATTGCAAAATCCGAAGTCTTTCACATACGCTTGGTATTTAGGATCTAATTTTTAAATATTATTGAAGGTCGACTTGCTTTGGCTTCTCGAATCAGACGCATCGTTTGATTTAAATATTCTAGAACTGCATATCGGTTATGCGTAGATATGCTAGGTTCTGCACAAATATCGGCATAGGTCTTAGGATTGGGAACTTGTTCTGGATTTATATGTTTCCGTTACTATCATCGATCCTAGAGATTAAGGGCTGGTTTTCTTGTTTGTGAGGGGTGTGTATCATTCTAAAATATTTTGTTCGACAGTACCTAGCAATGTATCCTGGCCTTTTGCATTTGAAGCATATTGGTCTTCCATCCTCAGTTCTAGTCTCTTGTGATTTTCTATCCGTGTTTGTTTTATAATTTTGTAAGTGGTAAATTGTTTTTGTGGAGTATTATGGGGAGATTTATTAATAATTGTTATGGAAAATTGGCGTACCTTGAAATTGTCTTGACTGGAAATCTTGCTTTCTTGGTTGAAAGTCTTGTTAAAGTCTTTTTATTTATATATATGTTTTTAAAAATCTATTCAGTAGAGAGAGTGGATATGTTTGCTCGAAAAATATATTTTATCCCTATATATATAAAAGTCAGTGTATGTATGTATGTATGTGTGTTTGTTCCTATGTCGGCTATACACGTCCACAATACGTAACTAATCTGACTGAAATTTTAACAGTATGTGAAGTAGAATCTGGAAAAACTTATAGTGAAAATTTCAGGTCTCTATCCCGAATATTCTTTGAGTTATTTGCAAATTGCGTTGCAAATTTGCCCTTTCGCTCGCAAGCAGCGCCTCTAACGGTGAAGATGGGAAATAATATCAGCAGACCTAATGTACATGTAAAACGTGTTTTAACAGGACATAGAGAAAAATCTGGAAGAGATATTTAACGGATTTTTAGCCAAGAAAATTTGAAATTTACAGGTTCTGGGCAAAAATAGTTGTTTTTAGTCAGAAAATGATGACGACAATATTGCTGTATCATGTTTGATTATCAGATGTAAAATTATATCGGGAAAAATTCCAAAAAGCAGAGACCACGGGTGAAGCCAGTTCATTTTTAGTATGTGTGTGCAGGAACAATATTCTAACAGAAAAATTTTCATTCAAGCAGAAGACTCAAATCCAGATCATCTCTCTATAAAAATATCGCTTCTCAGACACAAAGTTTGGAGCGGGACGTTTCACAAGAATGACATCCACGGAATAAAAACATTTAATCGGGTAAAACCCGGACGTTGCCGGGTCATTCGGCTAGTATATTATAAAAATATATAATGTAACGAATATTATTATCATAATTGTTGTTTATGTTGTTATTTGTGCCTCTTTGATCACGCAGACTGCAACTGAACTAAGTTCTTTATTTATTAACTTATCTTTTTATAACATGGTTATGTGATATATGGGAAAAGGATCCTGAGAATCTTATCGACTCTCTATAATATAAAAAAATGCTTGTCGACTTCACGGTGATAAAGTGCTTTGTCCTGAGAATCCTCGGGAGTGGATGGGATTTTGTATGTTTGGGCAGTCGTTATCAATGGCGGTGGATGAAAAAATCGGCACACTATATCGATTAATGAATCACAAAACACCTCGGAATATTAATCATTGGCGGCTCGGGAGAGGAGATGGAAGGATTTTCACGATTAAATTGGATTGAGATGACTCACATCTTGGACCTCGAGGCACTACTTTTAGAAGATGCACACACACGTCTTGACACACACGTTACCGACCGAACTCTGGTTGCCCCGCCCCCCGGCTTGAGTCATGTGGGACCCTGCTTGACCTTTGATTGGTCCCTGTCTCTGTCGGCCATGATGGTAAATTTGGTCGGGAAGAAGCTTTGCCTAACATCCCAATCTCTCAGGACATTCAACTCTGGAATATGAGGGCCTCTTTGTTCTAAGTGACCTAGATACACGACTTGGATCTGTCGTTCTTTTCTCTTCTACTTCTTCCATCTCCACGTCCTTTGACTGCCATCTTTATTTGAATCCATACAGAATACATTATATCCAACATGGTACATAATTATTTATTAGACAATATTCTTTATAATATTACAGATGCGCCCCCTATGAATAAGAATTTTAAAAGGGATCTGTATTAAATTCTGAAAAAGAAAAATAATTTTTTGGGAAAGAAAAAAAAAATAATTTTTTTTTAAAATAGTGAGTGGTTAGATACAATTGGGGAGAAAGTAAATGATGGAAATAAGTAATAAAAAGAAATTTGAGTAGATAGGGGTGCTTGCTAAACTAGGAAAAAATATGATAATTTTTTGGAGGAAAAAAAAAAATCTTGCCTGCATAGGTGTTCAATCTTGCTGTGTGGAAACCCACAGCAAGGGAAACTCTATGAGGTGCAATCCAAACAAAACATATAAGACATTAACAGAAATAAAAAGAAAACTATAGACAATAAAATTTGGTGATGGAGGGAAAAAAAAAAAAAGAAAAAAGAAATCTGATTAGCCTTTGGGGCGGTGAAAAAAATATAAACAAAACATAAAAAAAAGAAATCAAAGCTCCTGTATGATAAACTGAAGGCTGATACATGAGAAGTATTGCGTCAGGTCAGTTGTTCATTCAGTTAGGACAAAACAAGGTTTAAACAATAAAAGGAAAAAATAAACTTGAGGTGATTAAGAAATTGAAAGGGTGATAGACATGGATGGTGGGAATAAAAAAAATAAAAAAAAATAAAAAAAAATAAAAGTGCTGGTTGTGTACAAGTCTTTTAAAATTGGTTAACAAAAATATACACAAAAGAAGAATATTTTTTTACATAACAATGTCCAATCTTTGTTTATTATAGGGTCGTAGGTCATAAGGTTGCCAAAACTATATAGGTGCGTGAATGTATGCGAGTGTGTGTGAGTGTATGTTCCAGAAAGTAACTTTAAGTGTGGTGACACGCGAAAAGTGACGGCGGGTTTGTTTACATTCCGCAGGGAGGATGTGACGTCGGTCACGTGATCGGAAAGGACGTGACGTCGGCGCGGCGGAAGGTTTCTGTAAAGTGGACGCCAGCTGACAGCGGGGTGATCGACGAGTGTTTGTAAAGGTGGGGAGATTGCTATTCGACTTGGCACGCTCTAAAGAGGGTTTGGAAAATCTCTCCTATGATTTCACCTATTAGAGCGACCAAGGCATGACTGTGGACAAGGATGGTCCATAACTCCGGGAGAATTATTCCTATGGTTCGATGGATTAGTTCCACTACGGCGATGGTTATTTCGAATAGGGCTTCCTGTAGTTGGAAGAGACGGTTGGGCTGCAGTGTATAGACACTGACATACAGTAGGGTGGCCATGGGTAATAGTACAGTGGGTAGTATGAAAAGGTTGATGAGGTATAGGAGGTGGAACAAGGGGAAGGTTTTCACGTTACGAAAAAACCTTGCCTGTAAGGGAATTGGTTTGGGATCAGCCCTAACTGTAGGGATTGGGGTTTTAACTTTGGTTATATGGGTTGGACGGGATATTGCAGGTTGGGGAATATCGCGTTGGGCGATAATGTTACATTGTGGGTCAACAGGGGTGGTAGTGGTACAATTGCCTATTGTAGGAGCAAAGCGCTCAACTGTAAAGAGGTCTGGGGTGAGGTGCTCGAACAGTGGTGGTAGCGTCCTAGATTGGGGTTTAGCAGGGTGTGGTATCAGAGTGGGAGGTGCGATATAACGAATATTTTCGTTATAGTACTGTAATTTATTTACATGGACTGTGTCGGTATTCCGATTTAGAGGTTGGTTGGGTCGGTTTATTCTCACCACGTTGGGAGAGATGATCTCTAAGATCTCGTAGGGACCCGTGAAATACGGAGCCAGTTTGCCTGTATTGGGGTGATGGTAAACTTTTACCAACACGAGATCTCCGGGTTCAAAATGGGGTGTCTTATGTTGTTGGTCGTAGGCATGTTTGTCTTTGAGGTGCTTGGCCTGGGTACGTTCATGGGCTATCCGTCGGGCTGTGGTTAAAACGGGGTAGGGGTTTACATGCTCAGTGAGCTCGGGAGGTAGAACGCCGAACATCAGGTAGCCAGGTGGGAACCCGGTAACTGAGTGGGGCGTGTTGTTATACACCACAGTAACGCGCTTCGCCAGCTTAGTCCATGCGGCTTTGGGGTTTTCCAAATGGAGTAACCTTAGTTTGCCTGTTAAGGTAGCGTTCAGGCGCTCGCATAGACCATTAGCTTGGGGGTTGTTACTGGTGGTGAGCAGGGGATGGATGTTCCTGTTAATCAGGAACTTCCTGAACTTTGGTGAGGTGAACGCAGGCGCTCTATCCGTGAGTAGGCGTTTCGGAGAGCCGTCCTGCAACACTCGCTTTATCACCTGTTGATAGGTGGTGATGCTGGTAGATTTTGAGGGGAAGGTCCACGTGTAGCGCGAAAAGTGATCCACCACAACGTGGAGGTAAGCTTTGGCGTTACCATATTTGGCAAGTCCAGCTATGGTGTCGAGGGCGACCAGATCAAAAGGCTGAGTGGCCACAGGAAGTTGTCCTAGTTCCCCAAACGTGGGACCTCGAGGGGGTTTTGTTGACTGACAGATGGCGCAGGCTTTGGTGGTTTTGGAGATGTCTTCTGACATCCCCTTCCAGTAGTACTGGGGAGAGATGAGCCTGGTCATCTGGGATATGCCCGGGTGGTTGTACCGACTGTGCACCTTTGTTAGTAGGTCGGGAACGAGGGCGTCAGGGACGACAATTTTGGTTACACCTCTACGCTTTAGGGTTTGCAGTCCGTTTCGATCAATGGTCAGTTTAGATTCTCCCGAAGGAGTGAGTTGGTGGTTCTTAATGATGGTGGCGTCTAAGAATCCACAAAACGGGTTACGGGATAGGAGGTCCGCTTCATGTTGTAGTGATCCTTTTATGTAGCGGACTTCGTATTCGTAACACGATAACCTCAAACTCCATCGGAATAATCTGCCTGACGGGTTTTTGATCGTCTTCAGCCACTGCAGTGCGTGATGGTCAGAAAATATGGTGAATTTTCTGCCCATTAGATACACACGGAACTTCTCCACGCTCTCGACAATGGCGAGGCATTCTAGTTCGGAGATGGTGTAGTTCCGCTCGTGTACACGCAGAGCGCGGCTGAAATATTGGACTGGGTAGGCCTTCCCAGCGGAGTGGACTTGTTTGAGGACGCCTGCAATGCCAAGTGTTGATGCATCGCAATATACCTGGCATGGTAGTTCATCCTTGTAGAGGTGCAATACGGGGTGTTGTGTGAGGCTTTCCTTCAGGCTGGTGAACGCCTTTTGGCATTTGTCATCCCAGTCCCACGTCACATCCTTCTTGAGAAGGTTGTTGAGTGGGGTCCGCAAACGGGCATAGTCCGGGATGAACTTATTATAGACGTTCACGGCGCCTAAGAAGGATTGCAGCGTTTTGCGATTGTTCGGGGGTGGGATAGCGTGGATTACGTCGGTATTGCGGATAAGTGGGGTGGTGGTACCAGCGGTGATTGTGTACCCCAGAAATTCGATGGTCTGCCTAAAAAACTCGCATTTGGTGAGGTTGAGTTGCAAGTTCTCCGCGTCGCAGAACGCGAAAAACCTGCGCAGGTGTTCTTGGTGTTCCTCCAGTGTCTCCGAATATATGACAAAGTCGTCAAAATAGTGCGCCACACAATCAAGTCCGTGCCCCTGCAGGACCTGATTGATTGCCCTTTCATAGATCTGTGGACTGGTCTTAAGTCCGAAAGGCAATCGGGTGGGCTGATACAACCCGTCTATCGTGGCGAAGGCCAACAGTGGTCGAGAATCAGGGTGTATCGGCACTTGCCAATATGCGGAGGAGACGTCGGCAGTCGAGAAATACTTGGCCCGCGCGAGACGGTCCAGTATATCTTCGATCCTCGGGAGTGGATGGACATCGGAGCTTATGACCTCGTTCACCTTCCTATAGTCGATACAAAACCTTTTGGTCTTGTCTCGCTTGGTCACTAGGGTGACCGGGCTAGAGAAAGGGGAGTAGGACGGCTCAATGATGTCATTATCCAACATCTGTCGGATCTGACTGCGTATTTCCCGTTGATCGCATATCGGTACCCTATATGGGCGGATGGTGACGACTTTGTCGGAGTTGGTGGCGATTCTTACTGGGGGAACCTTTAGGCATGGGACCGCGAATTTGTTCCGGGAGAACACGTGTTGGTATTGGCGCAATAGCGCCGGAAATTGAGGTGGATACGGTGGCTGCGGTTGATTGTCTATGGGGATCCCTGGGAGGTGTTCTGGTGCTAATGGGTGGTGTGTGTGGTACATGGAATGGTGTGTGGAATGGGGATGTTTGGGTGTATGGTGAAGGTGGTCCGTTTGGACCTTGGTGGGGTGTGAGAGGTTGGCATTGGGTGGTTGTTCTGGTACCTTGACCCTATAATAAGAGCAGTTGGCTCTAAAAAGGTTCTTTGATTGGACATGGTGCGGTGGTTGGGTGAGTCCCTGGGTTGTGGACGTGTTGTCCGAAAAATGCGCATATTGGGTATTGTTGGCGGAAGGCGGAAAAATAGTGTGGGCCTTGCATAGGTCCGCCTGGCATTCCCAATATGTGCACCTTTCGGGCAACACAGCAAAGTGGTAGGTCAGGGGCGACAAAGGTGCGTCGAGTTGGTACATAGTGCCATGTGCAAAATCGATTTTTAATTTGAATTTACGGAGGGTATTAATACCAAGTATTCCAAATGGTAGAGGGGCGTCCACCACGTGGAATACTTCGTTTTGGGTCATGGCATGAATGGACAGGGGGAAGGTAATCTGGCCTATTGTTGGCACGTGGCCATCTATTGTCTGTAAATTTACTATTTTTTTAGTTATTAAATTTAGGTCAGGGAAATTATTCTTTAAATTTTTATATATGGCACATGACACTAGGTTAACGGACGCACCCGTGTCTATCAGGAATGGTAGGGACAGTCCATGGGAGATTGGCAGACTAATTGTCAGGTTGACGAAAGGCCTGGTCAGTAGGCCTACCTGTTGGCTGCTGGTCTGGGGCTCCCTTGGTTATCCCAGTGGCTTGTGCGCGTGACGCTTGGTGATGGGGCTGGGCTCGCGGCCGTTGTTCCGCTAGTTGCGCGGAGCGCGCTGCTCGTGCGTCTCCGGAGGCACGGGGCAACTGCGGGGCTTGTCTGAGACGACACTCAGAGTGCCAGTGTAGTCCACCACAAAAACGGCAGTCTGTTGGCGGGGTCGACCTGGTTGGCACTGTTCTTGGACTAGGTCGCACCGGTGCGTAGGGGCCCAGTAGGGGTGGTGCGTGCTCGTCTGGGTGCCTTGGAGATGGTGCGCCGCTGCCGCGGATCCGCTGCACCAGCCGGAACCATGCACCTAGGTTCTCTGGCGGCACAATGCGGACGAGGCGCTGGTCGGAGGGTGGCAGCCCCTCGGTGAGCGTCTCCAAGATGACCTCTTGTGGGAGGCCCAGTTGTAGACCCAGCGCGGTCTTATTCCGATAGTATTCTTCCAGGTTGGGCTGTCCGGCCAGCTTCATGGAGAAGTATTGGGCATACGTGGCCTCATTGGTCTCCGGATAGAGATCCAGGAAGGTCTGTCTCACCTGGATGTAATGTTGGGTCTCCATCCGACGCCTCCTGAAGTGTTCTAGCGGTTTGTTGTTCAGGTAACGGGGTAGGCGGAGCACTTTTTCCGTGTTGGTGAGACCATCCCAGTCTGTTTTCTGGTCATATGTCCGAAAGAACTGTGCGGCTGGGTAGGTCCCGTCGAAGCTCTGGACTTCTATCTCCGTCCGATGGGTCACGCGGTCGCTGGTGGTCTGAAGGGCAGATAAACACGCCGCGAGGCGTGCCAGGACGGCCGGCAACTCTGCCGACGGAGGGGGTGGTTCTATTTTGGGAGTACTTACGGCGGGGTTGTTTTCTCCCTCTGCGGTGTATTCCTCCGCGTCTTGCGTTTCGTTTTTCTCGTCCATCCTGTCGACTCTCTGTGATATATGGGAAAAGGATCCTGAGAATCTTATCGACTCTCTATAATATAAAAAAATGCTTGTCGACTTCACGGTGATAAAGTGCTTTGTCCTGAGAATCCTCGGGAGTGGATGGGATTTTGTATGTTTGGGCAGTCGTTATCAATGGCGGTGGATGAAAAAATCGGCACACTATATCGATTAATGAATCACAAAACACCTCGGAATATTAATCATTGGCGGCTCGGGAGAGGAGATGGAAGGATTTTCACGATTAAATTGGATTGAGATGACTCACATCTTGGACCTCGAGGCACTACTTTTAGAAGATGCACACACACGTCTTGACACACACGTTACCGACCGAACTCTGGTTGCCCCGCCCCCCGGCTTGAGTCATGTGGGACCCTGCTTGACCTTTGATTGGTCCCTGTCTCTGTCGGCCATGATGGTAAATTTGGTCGGGAAGAAGCTTTGCCTAACATCCCAATCTCTCAGGACATTCAACTCTGGAATATGAGGGCCTCTTTGTTCTAAGTGACCTAGATACACGACTTGGATCTGTCGTTCTTTTCTCTTCTACTTCTTCCATCTCCACGTCCTTTGACTGCCATCTTTATTTGAATCCATACAGAATACATTATATCCAACATGGTACATAATTATTTATTAGACAATATTCTTTATAATATTACAGTTATATATCTAAGAATGTTTACAAGTCGAGTCTGCAGTGTTGCCGGATCAACTTTTCAGTTCCATCATAACATGTTTCCTTTGAACAAAAATAAAAAAAAGGATTGCAGTTCTCCTAGTCTCTATAACGCAAAGGTTTTCTCACTGTTCTACCACTGCGGGTTCGCACACTAGGAGAAGTAGATGATTCTTCACCTTTCTTGGCAACGTTCTCCCTTGGATCATATGCTCTTCTGTTTTCGGAAGTGGGTCTTCCATGATCTTGCATGTTGTCATCCATGGCTGTTCCTGCTTGAGATCCAGGAATGCTTGGACTTTGAATTGTTGGGGCAGAATCTTCTACACTGAACTTTCTCGGTCTAAGGTGAGACCTGTTCCTGCGGTATTCAGACCCACTTGGTGGTTTCACCATATATGAGCGTGGAGTTTCATGCTTTGCGGTCACTGTTGCCGGAACCCATTTTCTATGCCTTTCCTGCAACATGATGTTGTCTCCTACTTCCAAAGGTCTCAAAATTCTCTTTGGACTTCCTGCATACTTTTGTTGATGGTCTCTCAATTTTTGGTAATTCTTTGTTGTGTCAAACAGTGGTTTCAACTGTTGTCGGGTGTATGTCGAAAGAGTTCTCACAGATCTTCCCATAAGCATTTGGGTCGGAGATGGCAAGTCATACTTAGGTGTGTTGTTGAACTCCATCAAAGCCAGATTGGGATCTCTTCCTGACTTCACAGCTTTAATTATCAGTCCTTTGATGGTTTGAATTGTCCTCTCAACTTGTCCATTAGATCTTGGATATTTGGGACTGGAGGTTTGGTGTTTGAATTCATATTTCTGAGCAAAGTTTTTGAATCCAGTAGAGTTAAAAGGGGGTCCATTATCCGAAACTAGAGTTCTTGGAATTCCATGAGTCTTGAAAATGGTTTTCAACTGCATGATGGTTTCGGTTTCTCTTTTGCTTGATAATTTCCGGATTTCAACAAACTTTGAGTGGTAATCGACAACCAAGATGGAACTGGTTCCACTCACCTCCATGAAATCTACAGCAATTTTTTCCCATGGAAATTCAGGGATTTCATGAGCTATTCTTGACTCCTCAGGATTCTTTCTTGAATATTCCTGACATGTTCTGCTCTTTTCCACTTCATTTTCTACTTGTGTTATCATGCCTGGCCAGTAAAATGCTGATCTTGCTTTTTCTTTGGAAGCTGCTGTGCCCTGGTGTGATGAATGAACAACCTGCAGGATTTCTTTTCGAAGAGTCGATGGCACCATGATGCAATTTCCTTTGTAAACAATTCCGTCACTCACATGAATTTCATCTTGAAATTGCCAGTAGGGTTTTGCTTCATCACAGACCTTAGTTTATATTTCGGCCATCCATTCTTCGCATACTCTATTAGTTGTATCAAGGTGTGGTTCCCATGAGTTTCCTTTTTTGTAGTCTCTTTATTTTTTCATCTGTGGTAACCAGCAACATGTGCACTGATTCAGTTTGACCTTCTAAATAGCTTGTGTCCACCTCATCTTTTAATGGATCTCTAGACAGATGGTCAGCTACAAACATGTTTTTCCCTGGTGTAAACTTCAAAGATATTTGAAATCTCATGAGACGTAAGACCATTCTTTGCAGTCTTGGGGAAAGCTTTTCTAAAGGTTTCTTAACAATACTCAGGAGAGGTTTGTGGTCAGTTTCCACAATAACATCATTTCCCCAAATATAGTACTGGAAGCGTTCACATCCAAAGACTATAGCCAAAGGTTCTTTCTCTATCTGTGCGTATTTTCTTTGAGTTGCATTCAGGCTGAAGGACGCATACTCAATTGCATGTCCCCCTTGCATGAGCACTGTACCAATACCATATTGGCTTGCATCAGATGAAATGGTGATTGGCTTGGTTGGGTCAAAAAATGTCAATATTGGAGCATTCGAAACCATATCCTTGAGTTTTTCAAAACAATCATTTTCTTCGCCTCCAAATTTCCATTCACTCTTGTTGCTTATCAATTTCCTTAGAGGTGCAGTCTTGTCAGAAAGATTAGGAATGAATTTTCCAAGGTACGTTACCATACCTAAGAATCTTTGGACTTCAGTCTTGTTCTCAGGTCTTTTCAACTTTTGTATTGCCTCTGCTCTTGAAGCTTGAATGGCTATTCCATCTCGACTGATTATATGGCCTAAGAAATTTACTTTGTCGACAGCTATCTGCTGCTTCTTGGCATTGAGCTTGACATTATTTTCTTCCAACCTTCGAAGAACTGTTTCAAGGTTTCGGTTGTGCTCTTCCATTGTGCTTCCATAGATCAAGATGTCATCCGGGGGGTCGGTGGAAGGCTGGTTAAACCGTTTGGTTTTCATGGATGTTTGGATTATCATGGCCTGTTCCACGTATGCTAGGGATAAGTAAATATATATATATATATATTTACTATATATATCATCCATATAGCAAGCAGTTCCCTGGAGACCTGAAAGAATATTGTTTATGCATCGCTGGAATACCTCCGATGCACTGTTCAATCCATAGGAAAGTTGCTTGAACCGGAATCTTCCAAAGGAAGTCGCAATGGTGCACAGGTTGGTGCTTTCTTTGTCTAATGGGACTTGCCAGAAAGCTGATGATGCATCAAATACAGAGAAAACTGTAGCACCTTCAGTTCAGAAAATATTGTTTCAGCTGTTGGCAGAATATAGCTCTCTCTCTGAACATATTAGTTCAGTTACCTGGGGTCCATGCAAATTCTGACATCTCCAGAAGGTTTTTGTACCACTACAATAGGGTGTGTCCATTCGCTTGGTTCTTCAACTTTTTCAATAATGTCAAGTTTTTCCATCCGTTCCAATTCTGCTTTAACTTTTTCTCTAATGGAAAAAGGAATTTTGCTGCTTGGAGCAATAACTGGAGTTGTATTTTCATTTAGTCTATTCTTGTGTTCAATTGGCAGTCTTCCTATGCCTTCAAATATATTTTTGTGCCTGTTCAAAATTTCTTTTGCTGAATTGTTCTGCTGTATTTGGACAGCATCACATTTCTTAATTAGTGAAAGCTTTTCAATAGCTTCTATTCCTAAAATTGGTTGATAGTGTCCATCAGCAATGAAAAATTCTAGACTTTCCGTCTTATTTTTAGTTTTGCAATTTAGTGTGGCAATTCCTTTTATCTTGATTTCATGTCCTGTATATGATGTTAGCTTTCGGTTAGTCTGAAATATTTCCAAACCTTTCATTTGTCTGGTGAAACTGTATGGCAAAACATTTACTTCTGCTCCAGAGTCCAACTTGAAGCATATTTCCTTTCCATTCACTATGATGGATTTTTTCCATTCCAAAGTATGGACTACTTTTGCTTCATGTATTGACCATACAGTTTCTTCTGTTTCATCATTCAGACTTCTGATAGCTGAACTTTTACAGAAAGCTGCAAAATGATTCATCTTTTTGCATTTGGAGCATCTTTTACCCCATGCAGGACAATTTTTTGCTCTGTGAGACTTCCCACACCTTTGGCATTTGAATTATTTTTCAGATTCTTGATTTTGTTTTGGACTGTGTTTCTTTTCATATTTTCTTATTTGACAGATGTTCTCGTTGTTCTGCATGATCTTGATCTGTTGCTTGCTTATTTCATCTGTTTTGCACATTTCAATGGCTTTTAGAAGAGTTAAATTGGGCTCTCTTAAGAGGCGTTCCTGCAAAGCCTTGTCTTGTATTCCATACACAATGCGATCCCTAATTAAACTATCCTTTTGTGATTCAAATTCACATGATGTGGATAATCCTTTTAGTTCTGTTATAAAACTATCGATGGATTCACCATCCTTCTGTGTCGCTGAAAAAATTTGAATCTTTCAAAAATGACGTTCTTTTTAGGCTCGCAAAAATCATCAAATTTGTTTATTACAAGATCGAAATTTTTTGCTTCATCTTCTTTTAAATGAAATGTGTTGAAAACTTCCAAGGCTTCTTCGCCAATAAAATTTAATAAAATGGCAACTTTCAGTTTATCAGGCTTTGTGGCTTTTTCTGTTGCTTCAAGATAAAGCATTAATCGCTGTTTGAACCTTCGCCAATTTTCCGCTACATTTCCGTGCAAGGCGAGTTCGCTAGGCCTAACAAAGTCCATGTTTTCTTTTTTCACTATTATTTGTCAATAATATATTTATTTGAAAAAGTACTCACTCTTTTCCGCTGCCACCATGTTGTTTATGTTGTTCTTTGTGCCTCTTTGATCACGCAGACTGCAACTGAACTAAGTTATTTATTTATTAACTTATCTTTTTATAACATGGTTATATATCTAAGAATGTTTACAAGTCGAGTCTGCAGTGTTGCCGGATCAACTTGTCAGTTCCATCATAACAATAATATTCTTTGTGTTCCAGAATATTATTATCAATAATATTCGTTAGGCAAACTTTCACTTGAATAAAACCCGAGCCGGGTCCGCTAGTAAGTATATAAAGAGAGGCCTATAGGATGCCCTAGCCTTCCTACTGATGACCCCATCCTGTATGACCTGCTACACATTCCATGACATCAGGCATGCAATTGTCTTTTCATCTCTCTGTTTTAATAATATTTATGATATCTCTCTTTAAAAAATAAACTCAAAATAAATATATACAATTTTGAATAGTGAACCTTAGAATTAAGCTCTTTTTAAAATAAAATATTATCAGAGTTCATAGAGGGCGCAAAAATTTGAAAAGAAGCAGTTACCATTCAGGTGTAAGCTGCAATACAGAACCACAGACAAAAAAGTGTCAAAATGGATATTAACTACTCTTTTTTAGTTACACAGATTTTTTAAAGCGACTAGTTGAAAATTCAAAATAACACAAATAGAGTATAGGAAAACACAAAAATAAATTTAATTTTTAAATTTTAGAATTTATAATTAATTTTAGACTCAGACAACATCTTAAATGGGGACATTTAAAATTTAAAGTAGGTTGAAATCCTCTGAATTTCTTGCTTTGAATGCTTTGATTCTATTACTTACATTTAAAATTTGATTACAAGAAAATTAAACCAAAATATCTATTTGTGCCAATGAAAGCAATCCCATCCCATCCTGTTTCACCTACCTTCATCAGAAACCCTTCACCAGAGCAAGGTCGACGATTTAAAAAAAAAAAAAGTCCAAAGCCGCGGCTGCTCTCTCCACTGTTAAGCAACTCCTCTTTGTTTTCTTTTATCTAATCCCCTCAATATAAAAGGAAATATTGATACTTTCTCCCAGTGTTGCCGAATTCACCCCAAATATATCAAACTACCCCTCTCTGCTCTAAATAATAAATAATAAAATTTATAGTGTGTGTTTTAAACAATCATTAATAATAATAAATTTGGATTCAAAATAATCTTGTATGGGACAAGTGTCCTCAATAAAGACTCTTTTTTTTTCGTAAATATTGAGGCTGCCTGGCCGGCATTCATATTTCTTGAAAATGAAGATACTTCGGCCAGTGAATCTTTTTATTACCTCGACGTTTCGACAAAAATCTTTTGTCCTCGTCAGGAGCAAACAAAAATTAAACATTCAGCAAGGCGTTAAAAATCTTTCTAAAGTTCCAAGGGCGTTCTCACGCGATATTCAAAATTTTTGTACAACATCTAAACCACGAGTCAAAAATAAATATTTAACTCACAAAAGACTATGATCTTTGAAATAAATTATAATATACATATATATTAAAAATCGAAATAAAAAAATAAAAGATAAAAAGATCAGGTGTTGAAATCAATATAAAAAATGGCATATCCTGACCAGGAGCACATGTGCTTTACAGAAGGCAGAGCGCCATCTGGTGGAACAGAAATCAACTAAACATTGATTTAGCCTGTTCCCTGATATTTGGCCAACCCAATTTCTTGATAAATCAAGAAAAGCCATCCACGAACGCGTTTCGCGCTTTTTGGCGCTCGTCAGCGTGGAGTAGGCTGAACCATTGAGACCAAAAAAATATTTTTTGATCCCAATGGCCTCCCGAAAAACCAAGAAATGGGTATTTAAGGCCAAACTTGCGTAAATACGCTTAGCACATTAAAAAACGAAATAAAAAAATAAAAGATAAAAAGATCAGGTGTTGAAATCAATATAAAAAATGGCATATCCTGACCAGGAGCACATGTGCTTTACAGAAGGCAGAGCGCCATCTGGTGGAACAGAAATCAACTAAACATTGATTTAGCCTGTTCCCTGATATTTGGCCAACCCAATTTCTTGATAAATCAAGAAAAGCCATCCACGAACGCGTTTCGCGCTTTTTGGCGCTCGTCAGCGTGGAGTAGGCTGAACCATTGAGACCAAAAAAATATTTTTTGATCCCAATGGCCTCCCGAAAAACCAAGAAATGGGTATTTAAGGCCAAACTTGCGTAAATACGCTTAGCACATTAAAAAACGAAATAAAAAAATAAAAGATAAAAAGATCAGGTGTTGAAATCAATATAAAAAATGGCATATCCTGACCAGGAGCACATGTGCTTTACAGAAGGCAGAGCGCCATCTGGTGGAACAGAAATCAACTAAACATTGATTTAGCCTGTTCCCTGATATTTGGCCAACCCAATTTCTTGATAAATCAAGAAAAGCCATCCACGAACGCGTTTCGCGCTTTTTGGCGCTCGTCAGCGTGGAGTAGGCTGAACCATTGAGACCAAAAAAATATTTTTTGATCCCAATGGCCTCCCGAAAAACCAAGAAATGGGTATTTAAGGCCAAACTTGCGTAAATACGCTTAGCACATTAAAAAACGAAATAAAAAAATAAAAGATAAAAAGATCAGGTGTTGAAATCAATATAAAAAATGGCATATCCTGACCAGGAGCACATGTGCTTTACAGAAGGCAGAGCGCCATCTGGTGGAACAGAAATCAACTAAACATTGATTTAGCCTGTTCCCTGATATTTGGCCAACCCAATTTCTTGATAAATCAAGAAAAGCCATCCACGAACGCGTTTCGCGCTTTTTGGCGCTCGTCAGCGTGGAGTAGGCTGAACCATTGAGACCAAAAAAATATTTTTTTTTTTGCTCCTGGTCAGGATATGCCATTTTTTATATTGATTTCAACACCTGATCTTTTTATCTTTTATTTTTTTATTTCGTTTTTTAATGTGCTAAGCGTATTTACGCAAGTTTGGCCTTAAATACCCATTTCTTGGTTTTTCGGGAGGCCATTGGGATCAAAAAATATTTTTTTGGTCTCAATGGTTCAGCCTACTCCACGCTGACGAGCGCCAAAAAGCGCGAAACGCGTTCGTGGATGGCTTTTCTTGATTTATCAAGAAATTGGGTTGGCCAAATATCAGGGAACAGGCTAAATCAATGTTTAGTTGATTTCTGTTCCACCAGATGGCGCTCTGCCTTCTGTAAAGCACATGTGCTCCTGGTCAGGATATGCCATTTTTTATATTGATATACATATATATAATGAGAAATTAGAAAAAATAAATATAAAAATAATAATAATATTTACAAAGATTTTCCTATAGTATATATAAATCGATATCTATTACTTACAATTTATACTTATACTCTTAACTACTTTTTTAAATTTATAAACGAATTGTATTGTAGTGGAATATCTTCAAATACATTTATACTTCTTGCCCCCATTTCCCGTGATACCCATCCCTCTAAAAATAATCTTTCCCTTTTAAATTTTATATTCCTATGAAATATCTCAATATCATTCCAATTTGGCCTATGTCCTGAATATAAAGCATGTTCCCCAATTTTGCTTAACGCCCTTCTCCCCAATAAACCCTGTTGGTGCTCCTTAATTCTGGTCTCTAATTTACGGCCAGTTTCTCTTATATAAATTTTGTCACATTCTGTGCATTTAATCCCATAAATTACATTACTTGGTTTTGATGTGCCTATGTTATCCTTCATTATGCTATTTCTAGTTATAAATTCCCTTTTTGTCCCCGTACTATGCCATATATTATATTTAAATTTTCTCAAAATTCTAGATATTTCGTTATCTATATCTCCAAAAAATGGAATAATTATATTATTGCAATCATCTTTATTCCTATTTGAATTTGGCCTATCTATTTCATATCTTCTGATCCATTTGGACATTTGGTCTGTACATACCTGTTTGGCTCTTTCTACAAGAGATTTTATCACCTGTCTTTTATGTATCATAGGATTATTGGAATTAAAATTTAGATGTATCCCACAGTCTGTTGGCTTTCTGAAAACGCTGGTTAAAATGGAACCATCTTCTTTGCGAGTTAGTCCTACATCTAAGAATGATAAAAATCCCTCTCTTTCTGTTTCAACCGTGAATTCTATTCCTTTTTCTAAATTATTCAACATATATGACCATGATTTCATCAAGATTTTCTTTGCGGATCACTGCGAAAACATCATCTATATAGCGTCCCCAGATTTTTATTCCCTCAATTAAGATTGCCTTTTTATCTACCGATGCCATTACAATGTCAGCAATGATCATGCTTGTAGGACAACCCATAGCAGTGCCGTCCTTTTGTCTGTAAAATTTATCCCCGTATCTGAAGTAAATATTATCTAAACATAACCTAAAACCTTCTATCATTTCATCGATTTCTAATCCCTTGTTTACACAATCTTGTCTTTTCACCTCGAAATATTCCCTTAGCTCTTTTAGAGCTAGAGTTCTATTGATATTGGTGAAAAGTGATTTTACTTTTTTTTTTGTATATGGATTGTTGTTTATGGATTAGAATAAAAAATAATATTTTTAAAATGACAATGAACCTGGTGGAACCCAGGTATCTTGGGGTCTGCTTGGGGCAGGTTTAGGGATCGAGGTGAAGCTGTTGTTTTGCTTGAAGATATACCACTATGATCAACCAAAATGAGACCATGGTTCTGTGGTTTGCTTATAGGAATAGGGCGTTTATGCACAGATCATGCTGGATTTTAGCTTGGTGATGGTGGGGTCAATTCAGAAACCATAGGTCAATGTGGTTCAACCATAAGGAAAGAGAGTTTGAGCCTAACTCAGATTCTAGCTTGGTGCTGTCAAGACTCGTAGCCTCAAGCTCCATACGACTTATAGCCAACAGAACATTGCTGATTTTAGGGAGGAAGGGTAGGAAATTGTTTAATTAAGTTGGGGTTTGGTTGATTTGTGACATGCTTATATACAAAGGTGAAGAAGATGTCCTTACAAAGTGAGGCCATGGTCATCAATGTCCCAGGATCAGCAAAAAATGATTCATCTCTAGATATATCTCGTCAGTCACCCTTCTGGCAGGCAGCCTAAATTCTGCACATGTGTTACTGTATAATTATCAATACTCGACATAACATAAATTCACAATTTTTGTATAGTGCTAAATTATTTTGTACTCTTCAACAATACCTCTCTTTTAAGTTATATTTCATGCTGCTTTGTTGTTTGTCGTGGTTCTTTTTTTTGTTTTCTTACTACTTTTTACTATTATAACAAGGACGAGTAAGCTCGTTAAGCATTTTAAATTTCTAACTCTACCCTGGTACTGCTGTTTAGATTATTATAGCATAAGTATAACAGCGCTTAGTCTTTATTGACACTTTATAACAATCGGAGTTGATATCTGATTAAATATGTTTATTGTATAAAGGTATAATTTTAGGATATGAGGTTTTGCGTTTAAGGAATTATATATATATAATCTAGATTCCTTAAATGTAGAATACC